CTGGCCTCACCTTGGAGGTCTGTGGGGATATTGAGTCATCCTGGACATTTCTCCCTCCTGCCTTTGCTGCCGTCTCTTTCTTGTTCCCTTTGTCCTGCAGTGGAACAGCAGTGGCTTCACAGGGACTTGGTGTCCTTCTTCCTGAGTCTGTTCTGCACACTGCTGAATTTGTGTTCACTCCACATTTGTCTTTGTGAATCCCATCTTTTACCATATCTTCTTCTCTGAATGTTTGCTGTAGCACATAAAGTATTTGTTCTGCATCTTTTGCTTCTTTCTCCTGCCTACTGGCATTCTGCTTCTCTGTTCCTGTCATCTGTTTCTCCATATCATTCTCCTGTGGGTGAAGGGGCAGTGTGGCAGGAACTGGGCTCTGTGAAGCTCCAGTATAGCAGAGTGTTCTCTGTGTCTGTGATTCAGGCAACAGAAGGGGTTAAATGCTGTGTGGTGTCACTTCCTCACTATCTTCTGACACTCTGTTCTCACCTTTGTCATTTTATCACAAACATCAGTTTTTTCTGTTACCTTATTCTTTATTTTTTCTCTCTCATCTTCTCCACTGGTACCATTTTCACCATTTTGCTTATTTTCTTTCTTTTGTGTTTCCCACCTCTTTTTCATCAGTCTTCAGTTAATCATTCTTGTTTCCGTCTTCCTTTTCAGGCTCGTGCTTCCCTTCGTGTCCCACTGCTGTGAACAGCATGCAGGGGGCTCCATCAGTGTGGCCCTCCTGTCCTCTCAGTTCAGCTGGGGCCTCTGTGTCAGCTGCAGAGCTGTGTGGGTCTACAGGGATCTGGACCTGCAGCTGCACAGCAGGGGCTTCAGACGGGCTGGCTGTGTCTGCTCCACAGGTAGCTTCTTCTCCCGGGAAAATGGCACCCATGTCTTTTTCCTCTGTTTGCACCCTGCTCTGCATCTCCTCTATCTCCTCAGCCTTGTCAATTTTGTCACAAACATCATTTTTTCCTGCTGGCGCATTCTTTGTTTTTTCAATCTCATCCTCACCCCTGGCACCATTCTCACCATGTTGCTTATTTTCATCCTTTGGTGTTTCATTGTTATTTGTAGGTTCTACCTCTTTTTGCTTGTTTCCCATGTCCTCATTTTCTTCAGGAGTCCTTTCCTCATTCCTGTCCTCCAACTCCTTAATTCTTTCTTCTTCTTTGAATTTCTTGTCATTGTTGGCCTTGACTGCTTGTACAGGGTTTTTGCTGCTGATCTTCTGTTGGAGTTTTCTCCTCTCCATCTCTGTGCTGTGGGAGCACAGCGGTGATGGTGCTGCTCTCTAGCCCAGATTCCTGTAGTGGCCCGGGCCTGTTCTGTGGTTCTGTCCGAGGTTTTGAACAGTCTGTGTTCTTTCTTGTTGGCACTGACAGGTTTGGCTTCTCTTGTCTCTGACTTTTAATTGATAGAAGTTCTTGGTCATTCTTTTTGTCTTTCTCTTGATGGTAGATCTTATTTTTGTTGAGCGTGTCACTGCTGCTGGACTGAATTTGGAAGGCTTCACAGAGGCTCTCACAATCTGCGCTGTTGGCTGCAGGCTCTCTTTTGAACCCATGTGTTGCCTGCTCTTGACCCAGGCTCTTCCAGCTCTTATTATTCAATACTAAAACGGGCACAGTAAAGACATTTAAATCTTTCTATGACCGACCAACGCACCATGAGTGCCCCTGTCAGTCAACCAATCACGTACCGCGGTATTTTTCGTCAACGCGTGTCACGATGCGCGAGGCCATAGCCAATTACCTCCGGTACGTGTCTGTACCGCGCACTTTGAATGGCTGCATCTGTATGTATGCTACACATTGGTAAAGATAACACAGATAAAGATTATCTTCCTGGAAATTAAAGAGGAAGAGAATGAAACATACAGTGCCTTGCGAAAGTATTCGGCCCCCTTGAACTTTTCAACCTTTTGCCACATTTCAGGCTTCAAACATAAAGATATAAATTTTTTATTTTATGTGAAGAATCACCAAAAAGTGGGACACAATTGTGAAGTGGAACGAAATCTATTGGATTTTTGAAACTTTTTTAACTAATAAAAAAATGAAAAGTGGGGCGTGCAAAATTATTCGGCCCCCTTGCGTTAATACTTTGTAGAGCCACCTTTTGCTGCGATTACAGCTGCAAGTCGCTTGGGGTATGTCTCTATCAGTTTTGCACATCGAGAGACTGAAATTCTTGCCCATTTTTCCTTGCAAAACAGCTCGAGCTCAGTGAGGTTGGATGGAGAGCGTTTGTGAACAGCAGTTTTCAGCTCTTTCCACAGATTCTCGATTGGATTCAGATCTGGACTTTGACTTGGCCATTCAAACACCTGGATACGTTTATTTGTGAACCATTCCTTTGTAGATTTTGCTGTATGTTTGGGATCATTGTCTTGTTGGAAGATAAATCTCCGTCCCAGTTTCAGGTCTTTTGCAGACTCCAACAGGTTTTCATCCAGAATGGTCCTGTATTTGGCTGCATCCATCTTCCCCTCAATTTTAACCATCTTCCCTGTCCCTGCTGAAGAAAAGCAGGCCCAAACCATGATGCTGCCACCACCATGTTTGACAGTGGGGATGGTGTGTTGAGGGTGATGAGCTGTGTTGCTTTTACGCCAAACATATCGTTTTGCATTGTGGCCAAAAAGTTCGATTTTGGTTTCATCTGACCAGAGCACCTTCTTCCACATGTTTGGGGTGTCTCCCAGGTGGCTTGTGGCAAACTTTAGACGAGACTTTTTATGGATATCTTTGAGAAATGGCTTTCTTCTTGCCACTCTTCCATAAAGGCCAGATTTGTGCAGTGTAAGACTGATTGTTGTCCTATGGACAGACTCTCCCACCTCAGCTGTAGTTCTCTGCAGTTCATCCAGAGTGATCATGGGCCTCTTGGCTGCATCTCTGATCAGTCTTCTCCTTGTCTGAGCTGAAAGTTTAGAGGGACGGCCAGGTCTTGGTAGATTTGCAGTGGTCTGATACTCCTTCCATTTCAAGATGATCGCTTGCACAGTGCTCCTTGGGATGTTTGAAGCTTGGGAAATCTTTTTGTATCCAAATCCGGCTTTAAACTTCTCCACAACAGTATTACGGACCTGCCTGGTGTGTTCCTTGGTCTTCATGATGCTCTCTGCGCTTTCAACAGAACCTTGAGACTATCACAGAGCAGGTGCATTTATACAGAGACTTGATTACACACAGGTGGATTCTATTTATCACCATCAGTCATTTAGGACAACATTGGATCATTCAGAGATCCTCGCTGAACTTCTGGAGTGAGTTTGCTGCACTGAAAGTAAAGGGGCCGAATAATTTTGCACGCCCCACTTTTCATTTTTTTATTAGTTAAAAAAGTTTCAAAAATCCAATAGATTTCGTTCCACTTCACAATTGTGTCCCACTTGTTGGTGATTTTCACATAAAATAAAAAAATTATATCTTTATGTTTGAAGCCTGAAATGTGGCAAAAGGTTGAAAAGTTCAAGGGGGCCGAATACTTTCGCAAGGCACTGTATTAAGTCCTGTATCCAATCAGGGGATATTGCAATGTAAGTGAATAACATTTACACCTATATTCAGTTGAGGAGTCCCTGAAAGACTTCTGTAGGGAGAAGCCATTCCAGTGCTTGAAAAGAAGCAGGGGTGGTCACTCAGTGAAAATGAGGCCAAAGTTAAATACGGTTGTTGACAAAGCTGATGTGAGGCAGCTGTGATGAGGTTGTGGGGACAGAAGAGCTGGGGGACTTGGGTGCTAATGCTAATTCTGTCTAAACTGATGGGCAGACTGCAAAAGCACAAACTGAGAGTGAATCCAGGCAAACTCACCTTCCTACAAGCCTCTGTGAAAGAACTGCTGTTCCACTGATGCTCACAGTTTGAATCCAATAGACTGCATAGTAGATGCTATTATCAGGCTGTTGTGGAGTCAGCCTGCAGCATGCAAAAACCCTATATCACTGTAATGTACTCATATTTACCACACTTTGGAGTTAATTAGACAGTTTTTGAAACATTAGTTAGTAATATGGGATACAATTTTCATAGCAGGCTAAGACATGGTATGGGCATACTGTATACTGTTACTGTATATATCACAAGGTCTGGTGTGATGGATGTGATGAATACTGTCAGGTTTCAAATCAATTAGGCCAGCAATTTCCAAGGTAATGAATGGTCATATAAATTACACAAATAAAATGTCAATTGTCCAAAGGGTTCTTTGGACCCCTGCATGCTCCACTTCTGCTATACCTGTATGTTTTATTTATATAATAATAATAATAATAATAATAATAATTGCTTACACTTATATAGCGCTTTTCTGGACACTCCACTCAAAGAACTATGTATAGTACAGTCTCTAGAATGATACCCTTCCATCTGGGTACCCATGCCAACTCAACTAAACTGGTGTTAGAAAAGATTATTGAAATAAAATAAAGTCAAGGTGAGGAACAATTAATTACAATTAATTTAAATGTATAAATATGATTGAAGAATCAATATTGCATATTGCTGAAGAGCTGTTGGTCTTCTTAATATACTGTAAATTACACATGCACTTAGAATAGATGAAAGCTGAGTTTGCCAACCTGCCAAAAGCATTTTTATATCAGACATTTATCAGACAGATATAGAGATATATTTATATATTTTTATATAAGACATTTTTATATCAAAGTTGACAATGCCAAACTTGTTGTCACTTAAAATGAAACAACAAGTTTTAATTTAGTAGTCTTATGACATAACTTTTTCTTCTAAGGACAATACTTTAAACAAAATAGCACAAAACATCTCTTACTGTTTTTAAGGAGATTTGATATTTACCTTAAATTCCCATTTTGTTATGTATTTTGCAAAATAATGAAATATGAAATATCAGATTAGATATACAGTATAAATATCAGAATAGATTGCTTTTTCTGAGAGGCAATATTAAAATTGGACAAAGTAAACAAAATATTAATTTGTAATTTTGCTTAAAAGAGTTTATTTTCATTGCTGCAGGTTCTGAAGAGAAGAAACAGATATATGTTTGCTGTCAACAAATGGGTAAGTCATATTTGTAATTTGTACTCATAATAAATGGGATGATGAATATAATTTTTGATATTTTAGTGAACATGTTCTGTAAACAGCAGGTGTGGAACACCTAGACCCTGGGGCTGGCTATATGAGAACTCCAGCCAATTTGGCATGGTGTCTTAGACTCACTTTAGCAAGACACCTTACCAGTCTTACAAATTCTATTGTACAGATAATTTACATTTTGTTCTGATTACAGTATGTTTTTATTTTCACAGAAGACAATACATTCCTAGGTTAATTCTGATAACACATAAAGCAACATAAACAACTATGAGATAAAATTATTGGTTAAGAAAATGGCATACATACTGTATAAGGTTGTGTATTCCCATTGTGTGCATACTTTTCACCCAAAGTTTTAAGTAATCATTGACTATAACTCAATTTGGAGTACTTTTATTTGTATAATGAACATTTACAATTAAAACAGTTATACAGTTTAAAAGAAAATATAAAAACAATTAACCAACTTCCCCCAGTTAGTGATACTGGGGCATTGGATAAAAAGCATGCCCTGCCCCCATTTCCTTTTCTCCCACCCAGATTACTCTAAAGTAGAAAAAAGCTCCTAATCTTCACAGTCAATAACATACCACACAGCTATTAGTATTAAAAAATAGTACTATGGTAGAATTCTAGAAGAACTGAACCTTCCATTTAATTGCTTTAAGCTAACTGTACCCATAGGTTTGTAGGCTGTAAAATGTTATCTAATTTAATTACTTTTATGCAACAAGTTAGAATAATGAATAGACCTGGTGAGAATAATTTAAATGTAGGCATTAGCATCTATTAGTTGTTTAGGGAAAACTGGAATAGGAGTAGATTAAAAAAGATGCACCCCTTATTCATTATGAAATAACACTGGGTGGTATAATTGATGGATTCTTCAACAGGTTATAAAGTGTATCACCCAAATGTCACCACCTCTTCTTATGAGACATAGCATATAAAATTATTTCCAAAGGCAAAACATCTGTTTCTGGTATTTTTCCAGTTAATAGTAGAGGCTGTGAAGACTTTAGCTGGCTTTCTTCATGAAATCAATAGTTAGCTAAATAGATACATTGATAATGACAAATTATAGCAAATGTATTTGAGAGAGTTTTAGGTATATATCCTCACTAACAAAATTACCTAGATACCTGATAGGGGGGTCAGAATATGTTAAAAAACAGAAAACTACAAGTAGTTTTGAACACTACAACCAAGTGCTACCCGTGCAGCATAGCAAAAATCCTCAAATGAGTTATAGACTATGCCAAAGATAGAAAGACAATAATAAAAGTGGAATTAAATTCAGCTTTAATAGTGTGAATGATCTATGAGAAACAGTGGGAAAGCTAGAATAATGGAAATGAAGTTTTAACAAACCTTTTTATTGATGTTTTTGAAGTAGAGCAGTTCATGGTATAGTGTGTGCTTCATTTAGTACTGTAGGTGACACCTGAAGAAGGCTCCAAATGTCGTTTCTTTTCTTCTCTTTTCTGCATGGAATAAACCTTTACATGTTCATGTAACATGCTGGACCATGAAATTAAAATTTCAAGTATTTGGTTAATATAATGTTTGAAGGACACATACTCATTAGACTATCAGGAAAAGCTGAGTTATGAGTAGAAGGACAATTGCTTGTTAAGACAATAGGGAGTCTGGGGGTGCAAGATTTGTGGATGTTAACAAGGAGGTAGAATTGAGATGCCTGAAGATGTTCAGCAGTCAGACAGTAGCCTCCAGTGTTATTCTCCATTGCTAATGAGAAGTGAGACAACATGCTTTTGATAATGGTAAGAACCTTTGGAAGAGAGCAACATACTGTACGTAAATGTTAGCAGGAGGCTTCAGCAATATATACTGTAGGTACTTTTGCCAAACTACAGCAGCACCCCCTTTGTCTATTGTTTTGATAACAGTATCATTGTTGTGTAGTGAAAGGAGCTGTCCTTGCTGTATGACTCCTGGGTGTTTGGATTTGGGTAAAAGGAAAACTTTTGTAGCATTGTCTTTGCACTGATGAATAAGTAGTTCATTGGAGCAAAAAATCTGGAATGGGGAGTCCAACAGTTTTACTTACTGTATGATTAATATTGTTGATGTTGGTTACTTGGTTTTCAGCTGATGAGAGGGTGTCATTAGACAAATATGCACTAAGGTGAATCCTGCTGTAAAGACTTTTGAGTGGAATTTGGGCTTGCTGGGTATTCAGTGTTTTGAAAACTAGTACAAAAATCAGGCCTTTGATGAACATTTTATCTATCTCTATCTCACATTTATACTGTGGGGTAAAAGTTAAAGATACAAGATACAATACTGTGGGGAAAAAAAAAGATACAAGAGAAGGATCTGTTTTGTCCAGTTAAGAGTTAAAAGACAATAAATGTTCCCACAAATATAAGATAGCAGTTCCTTTTTTTCCTACATTTTATTTCTCTTATATACAGAAATTGTTATATTTCTGTACTCTGACCTGTAAAGGTTTATTTTTTTCAGTTGTAGCATCAAAGAAAGCATGTATTTCTATACTGTATTATACAAAAAAACACTGTCTTACTGATCTCCCAAAATGGTCTGCTTTTAGCTAAAGTTTTAAATACCTCCTGGCCACTTAGCACTTGGCCATTATGGCTATCACTTGACAAGGTAAAATAAAACAGTTGTGGGGCTCCAGTCAGACTAACATTCCACAGTGTGCACAGTCCTGTCTTAAGAATGAGAAATACTGATACAATAGGTGTAATTATTTCCTGATGCCTCAACACACACAGAAGTAATTCATGTGTGTCTGGGTTATTGTCCTTTCCAATGAACCAATTCTGTAAAAAGTGAATTTCCAAACATCTATTTTTTCATAATCTCATAATAGTGTTTTAGTTTGTATTCACATGCTGTAAATGTATTTATCATCCATTCATACAGTATATCCAAGTATATAAAAAAGATTCTCTTTGTATGCTCCTAACTTCCTCTGTTGAAAAAAAGGCATCAACATTTCTTATATAGGTTCCACTAGATTTTTGACCTTGTTTGACCATTACTTTGAACATTATAATGCTAATAGCCAATAGAATCTTTTAAGTAGAATATTTGGTGAATTCCTTTAAATGCATATTTTCTTTTCAGACCCCGGCCTCCTGTCCGAGCTGCGGATTGTCCTGCTGGGACAAATAGGAGTGGGGAAGAGCTCCACAGTGTAGATTATGCCGGTTCAGGGACGCCAAATATGTAATCATAGTGGCTTTCTGAAGGCACCAGTTCTGTAGGGTTTGGGCGTTTACTGAGACAATTATTAATTGTAGCAGTAAATCACAAAGTTGATTCTTTTGATGGCTTTAGAATCCAACCATGCGACATAACTCAAACAACGCGCACACACAGGTACTAATACACGAGGTTACATTTATTAATACATAGAATATGCATATAAACCTAACAGATCTTATCGAGAGGGTTATCAGAATACAAAAGATATATATTCAATCAGTTACAAAGAGTTACACATCAAGAGGAAATACGTTCAGTATATCATTCATTAAGACCGTTTCGTAAAGTGAACTTGGTTACAACTTCTACATTAGATAATCAAACAAGTACATAACTCTTAGGAATTAAATTGATATCAACTGGTTGGGATAACAATTGAATTCTCGAGCTGTAATGCATTGAAGTTGAATACTCATCCAATCTCTGGGGATTCAGATCTCCTGCGGGCACAAAGAAACAGTTGCAGGCTGTTGCTGTCCAATCCGCGCTCTCTGGCTCCGTGCCAGGCTGTGCTGTGCGGCTTGCGACGGTGCGCTGCTGATGCTCATTGTTGGCTTTAACTAGCAAAGTTTGTGCACAGGAGAAAAGATGACTGTGGGTCCCAGCAAGTCAGGAAGAGGACCGGTTCGTTCCTGATGAAGAGCTAGTTCTGAATAGTGATTCAGCTTTCCACAGTTCCGACCTGTTCACGAGGCCTGCTGTTGGTTACTCTCTGGCAACCTCAACTCTAGACTCTTAGAACAAAGGAAAGTTCTGGCACTCGGACACACTGGCCGTTCCGTGGTTGTCCGGGCTGAGTCTCAGGATGGTCAGGAGGCGCGCTGCGAGAATGTCCTGCCCTTGGGATTCTCCTTCGAATTCCCTTTAGAATTGTTGAATCTGAATCTCAGTCTGAATCTCAATCTGAATCTCTCAGGCTCTCTGTGTTGCCTGTTTTTACCTGGAGGAACTTCAGCTCATTGATTGGCTGAAAGTTCCATGGGCATCAGAGTCCCACGTGGGTTACTCGGCCCTACCAGTCCCTGATTGGTTGATCAAGGTGAGATATGAGTCACTTAGTCCTGACACTTAGTAATGCAGTCCAGATGTCCAACTGGCACTCCCTAGACAGATAGGCGCCAATGGGTGACCATTGATCATGATAGCCAGGCTTAGCTAAGTGCATCCCCCTTTGGGAGCTGTCCTTGGACCTTAAATCACCTTGCATGAATGGTTTCTCTGTGGCTGCACCACAGAGATGAACAGAGAAATGAGGCCAAATTTGGGAAAGCTCAGAAACACTTAATTCTGTCTTATTATTAAGCCTCACCGCTACAACAGGAAACACCATCCTGGGAGGGAAGGAGTTTACTTATGATCCCAGCTCTACCTCTACAACACAGCAGTGTGAAAAGGGAACAATACAAATCAGGAAGAGGACTATTACTGTTGTGGATACCCCAGGGTTTCTGGACACACGACTCACAAAAGAGGTGGAGACCTATAGAAACACTTGTCTATCTTTGTGTGTCCCTGGCCCCCATGCTTTCCTCTTGGTGGTAAAATTGGGAGCATTTACAGAGAATGAGACGAGAGCATCAGAACAGATCCAAGAGTTGTTTGGAGAGAAGGTTTTGAGGTTCACTCTGGTTCTGTTCACCTGTGGAGATGAATTGCAACACCAGACTATTGAGGAGTTAATTGAAGAGAATAGGGACCTGCAAAGTCTGGTTCAACAGTTTGGGGGCAGGTATCACCTCTTTAACAACAACTATATAAGCAACCACAAGCAGGTGAGAGATTTCCTAGAAAAGATTGATTTAATGGTCAAAGCTAACAAAGGAGGCTATTACTCTAAAGAGATACACCAGAAGGAAGTAGAATTCATTGGACACAAGGAATGGAGACTGAAAGAAGGAAAGGAACAGAAAAAACTAGAAAAGAACAGAATCAGAGAAGAAATTCAAGATGCGGATGAGGCAAATAATCAAAGAGCAAAGGGGACACAGGAGCTAAAAATGATGAAGCAAGATGCAAAAGGTAATACAACTGACTAAAAATGGAAATAATGTTCTAAAAGCAAATATATCAATTAGATATTTTTCTAAATACAGTATATTACTTCTTTATTTAAATGGTTGATATAAATAAAGCTTAAGAGGACGGAAACAGTACTTGTGATTATACTTTAGGAATTTAAGGATCAAATAATATTAGAAGATTATTAATAGACCAGAAAGCCAGCTGTTGTTGCCGTTGTGCCACACAAACATATGTGTGGAAAAACATGGTGCAGATGGTTCACAATGGTACCACATGCTTCCAAATGAGTCTAGATGCTTCTAATTGTAGTCAGTAGTTGGTTTTTCCAAAACTGCTTATCAACCAGCTGTTTTGGCTGTTGTTCGATATAATATTTTCATCAATGGCAGGGAGTCTCTATCTGTTAATTAATCTCTCTGTAGATGTTAAAATCAGATTTGGATCCATGGACTACTAATGCTATTTTTTTCTGATTATTTGTAAAAAGATTTCCCTTTATTATGCTTAAGATATTTAAATATCCAGGATTGGAAGTACTGTCTACTGATGTAAATAAAATCCTAATCCTCTCAATTTGTTCCACCCCACCATAGATTGCAAGGTGCATGATGATACTCCTGAAGATCCAAATGAGGTAAAAAAACATTACTATTGTAGCACAATCATAACTATTTCAGGCTATTCCAATAATATACTCATTAAATAATTAAGTGACTAATTTATCTTTCTATTAACCATTCTCTATAATAACTCACTTTGCAAACTTATTTATACCCTTAATTCTAAGAGTTCAGAATTCAGAGTGATTATCTCTGTACTTATCACAGAGTTTAAGGTCCAAGTAAATAAATCCCAGGGCTATTGTCATCAGCATGCTTTGAAAAGACACTGTTAACACCATTGTTTTAATAATACTGCTTGTGCCTCTGTGTATTAATAATTGCTTTGAGCCTTTAAAATAACATTTAGAAAATACCACCCTGAAACATATATTAGTCCCCTTTTTTAGACTTATAGATGACAGAAGACTAGTGTACCACAGTAATAGATATTTCTTCAGAAGATTAAAACTGCAAATTTCTATTCATAGTATATCAGATAACTCTGTGTGAATGTGAGCCACAATCTTGCAGGAGATTGGAAGAATATTGAGCAGTGAAGGATTCCTGAAGGAACTGACCAGAGGGAATTGTATTAAGGAGATAAGGGAGGTTTAAAGCGAAGGCAGCCTATTTTAGGGAGTGAGAACATGTCTATCGAGTGAATCCCCTGAGGATCTAAAGCGTATGTTTATATAATAGTTTATGTGAGTTAGTGAGTTCAAATGAATTCAAGAGTTTCAGGTGAGGGACCCTCTTCCTGGCAATACAATGTATGAGGGGAAAGCAAGATTTTTCTAGCTGCAGACCTCTCTAGAGTTAAGAGTAAGTTAAAGCTCCATTGTGAGTTAGACACTGAAGTTCATAGTGATGGGGGGAAAAGGTGCACCAGCAGCTGCTAGTGCACAGCCATGGATATGAGAGTGAGGCATCAGAGAGGTTGTGTTTTTAATAGGGCAGTGTGTCATGTCTGAAGCATCAGAGTGAGGTACTAAAAAATCGGTGTTGAGAATGTTAAGAGTCTGCGTGGGAGAATGAGATACTGGAGATTCTAGTATGTGTAGTGAGTGTGCAACTCAGCTTGATGGTGTCAGGAGGTAATGTCAGCAGCTGGAGGTCAACGTGAAAGTCCAGGGATTGACTGATCACGAGGGGACCAGTAGTTGGGATGGTGAGCTGGAAGTTCCATAAGAGAGGCTGGCAGCAGGAGGCGTCATGAGTGGTAGCTAGGATCAAGAAGTCTCCTAGCTAGAGAGTTAGCATCACTAAAGGGCAGGGAAGGCCTCGAAGAGAAGCAATATTGGTCATTACCATGTCACCCTGCCAGTAAGATAAAGAAGGCAATAGAGTGGGTGTGGCCGAGTCGAGGATCTTCCAATGCTACTCCCACAATGCACTTCCTTATAGTTTTCCCTTGTAGCCTCTAGATCAGGATTTACAGTTCTTTTGGAAAAAAACTGCTGGGCTGACTTTGTAAATGCATTTTGAGGATTTTGATACTTGTCCCCTCTTTGTCTTCTCTATTCAAAACAAAAGGCTCAGTTCTTTTATCCTGTAAGTATAGGACTTCAACATAACTTTGTTACATTTAAATTCTACACTTTTACTATACACTGTATACTAGTATTATGTTTGTCTTTTTAATTGCTTTCCCATATCATCTAAAAATGTAAATGCCGTTAAAATAATATTCTATTTTATTTTTCATAAGTAGCTTCTAGCTCAGTATTCCCTGTTTGATACTATTGGCATGCAAAAACCTGCATTTGAACCATTTTCCATTGACTTCCTACCTATCCTATAACATTTTACATCTCTCAGATTTTATCAGTAATTCAAAATGTATTTTCCAGAAATTGTCACCTTTTGCTCTGTACTCAAATGCATCACTTTCAAAATATACTTCAAACAAATTATTGTATCTCATAGTTCCCTAATTGTTCTCTCACTACTATTTGCCCCCACTCTGTCTTGATTATTTGAAAAGATAAGATATATACAAGCATTTCCTCTTTTGACCAAATTCAATTATAATCAGCATCTGTATGTGCATTTAGGAGGTTATAGCATATGTCTAACTCTACAGTATAAAATACCTTGAGAATGTTTTAATTAGTCTGATCGAAGTATATTCTGGGAATCATGACACTTTTAGCTTAATGCTCTTTTTCATATTGCTTCAACACTTTATTTTATCTTTCCTGTCTCTTTAAGAAATGCATCTTTTTGGTTTAAGAATGTGATAGCCACAGAATTAGCTTGCTATCTGATTTGGTGTGCAAATGTGTACAATGTCATCAGCACAGTAGTGAAAACTAAGTCCATGATGCTGAATGATTTAACCAAGTGGAAAAAATATACAGTAAATACAAAAATGTAAACACTATTGAACCTTTTGAATACCTTGACAAAGTACATCTACATCAGATTTAAAAATGACAATAGTCATGATTTTACTTCTGGTAGCTAGATACTGTAACTACCTTTGGTAACTTTGGTTTTACATCATTTTTGATGTAATTCTGTGGGATGCTTTGAGTCATTGTACAGAAACCAGTAGCTAAAGAAAGGAGAAGATTAACATGACATGTCCAAGAGTCATAAGCTACCTACCTTAGGAAGATGTGTATTCATGCTGTATTTCTGTCTAATTCATAACTGAGAAGGTTAGAATAGCTTGTTAGATGCAACATTAGATTTTCATTGAGTTGTCACCATCAAATGTGAAAATGGAAAATTGAAAATAGATTGTTTTTTTTAAACACAGCTGTGATAGATGTAGACAGGTGTGATAGAGCTAGAATTTAAGCCTGCAGGATAAATGTCAAATGTCAGATATTTGTTGATGTTGTTGTGCCAAACAAAAGGGCTTCAGCTGAGAGTTTGTGTGTTGAAAGTAATCTTTATTTCATATGCATATGGAAGTCTTGTGTTTGGACACAAGACTTAAAAGACAACACTTACAGTGCTCTTTTATACAGTGAAACAAACAATAAGAGATACACCCCCACATGACTTCTACTTGCATTGTGGCTATACTGTATATGGTCATTCTAGAAAGCTGACCAGTACATATATTTTCTTTACTGCCAGCGTGTGTGACAAGCACCCCCTTCTGCTGAATAGACCATTTGTTCCAGAAGAGGTCACTGGTCATTTCTCTGAGAACAATGCCAGCTATGCATAAAGACCCCATGTGGCTATCTTATCTTTTGAGACAAGACGTCCTGAGATGGATTCAGTAAAGAAAGATAGTAAAAACTTTTAGTTAATTCCCTCAATGCAAAGTTGTAAATGGAGAAAGAGATGATAAATTTGAATAGTGGCAGGCATAAAGTGCCAGGAGACAGATAATAAACCTAATTTTAGCTCAGTAATGTGTAATTAAAATATGTATTTTTCTGAAAGAATTCCAAAATTAATTCTGAGTAATAAACACTTAATGTACACCATATTATACTGTATATTGCTCTGGAGAATTAAAAGGAACTGAAAATGCACGTGCCACAGCAGAGTAAAAACAGAAAGAATTAAAAAATACAAATGAAAAGATGCCTTTTGGTCCATTTAGTTTGGTTGGTTAGAAGGTCAATCGAGAAAAAAAGCAATCCTTTGTTTTAATGGAGTTAAAAGTTTGTCAATCATATTGAATGAAAAATTCTGCTGGAACTGTTTCCTAGTTACCATACTATGTAGAATAATTTCCTTTTAAGTTGAAAATATCCACCAAGAGCCAGTCACAAAGATTCACTGGGCCTAAATATCAAACTCTGCCCAGAAACCACACAGGTCACTTCCTCCCTCGAGACTTATCCACTTTTAGATAAGGGTCTCTTCTTTGTGAAAGTTTTCTGAGGGGAAAAACAATGTACATTATACCCCCTCTGGATTCTGGTATTCTCTGTTTTTTGTGTTTGCCCCTCTGATCAATTACTAATTACCAGTCTCAATGGGCTGAATGACCTTCTGTCTTTTGTTCTTGTGCTCAGGTGAACTTTGATCCCTTCGGTCCTTTGGTGCCACATTGTGTCCAGTACATTATAGTTCAGGGTATTTTCACTTTTAAAATAAATGCAACTGCATTTATTCCTCGGTACTTTCCCTGATCCTCTCCCCCACCCCTTAGAAAATAGCATAAAACAGGTTCAGGAAATGCAATAACAATACTATAGGCCACCAAACAGTTCCTGTAAACTGACTAACTTTCAATTATTTAATTAATACTTACTTATTGTTTGTTTGTTTCTTTCACAACATAAATTCAGCTGTTTTGATTTCAAAGGTGTACCAATAAGATGGCTACAGAAGAAACATTTTTTCATCCAGTGTATGATGCTGAGGCTCTGACTGATAAAACAAACCATACCTTTCTAAATACCCTCAAGATAAAAATTCAATAAAACTTCTGTAGCTTGTTTAGTTAATAATGTATGCAAAGCCAGTGTTCTAAATTGTGTTCAATGTTAATTCTGTTGAAAAATAAAATAAATTATTTTAAATGAGGTAGAATTTTGATTCAATGACATGTTTAAGAAGATTAACTTATAAGATAAACGTGTATTATGCATGGAGGTTTAACTGTGTACAATATGTCTCCTTTTTTAAGAGTTTATTAACAGACCCCATAAAAGAAAGTGAAGTGAATTGGAGAGGATCATCTAGAAGCCAAGAAGATGACATCACTTCTACAAAACAGAGAAGAACATAGGCAGCAGTGCAGGAGCACAAGATGAAAACAGCTGGAAACATAATGCAGACATATATGAAGACAGTCGAAAAATGTACATTGAATGCAAAGGCACAGACAACAAAGAGACGCACCGTGCAGGCAAGAAAAATGATAGCAGATACACACAAAATGCAAACAGAGATACAGACAAAAGCAAGATGTGTAGTACAGGCAGAGACACTGAGAACAGAGAAACATATTACTCAAATAGAGATACAGACAACAGAGAGATGTGCAGTGTTGGCAGGGACGCAAAAAGCAGAGACCTGTGCAGTTCAGATGGAGACACAGACAGCAGAGAGATGTACAACTATGGCAGAGACACAGAGAGCAGAAAGACACATAGTGCCAACATCCACACAGAGAGCAGAGAGATGTACAATGCAGAAAGCGAAGAGATGTACAAAGATGACGGAGACACAGATAGCAGAGAGACACACGGTGCCAACAGAGACACAAATATCAGAAGGTTGTGTTATGCAGACAAGGAAACAGACAGCAAAGAGTTGTTCAGTGCAGATATAAAAAAACACAGCTTTAAGAAACAGTGCAGGGAGGTTATCAATAGACTTGGTATAGAGGATTTTTATCCTCATAAAATGACAAAATCAGAAATTCTTGTTATTGGAAGATCCTCATTACATGATCAAACTCCTCCAAAAGAAAAGTATTTACCATTTGCTTTCTTAGAAAGACTGTTGATGTTACAGATGCAGCCATTCAAAGTGCGCGGTACAGACACGTACCGCAGGTAATTGGCTGCGGTATCGCGTATCATGACGCAAGATGACGCGGTACATGATTGGTTGACCGACAGGGGCACTCGTGGTCCATT